GCCCAGCCCCACACCTCAGCACAGCCAGCACACAGCCTAGGAGCCAACCAGCCAACCTACAAGCCAACTGGCCTCACCAGCCAGCAAGCTGAGCAAACTGGAAAACACTGGGAGCCAGGTGGAAACCAGCACCCCGGTCCTTCCCTGACTCATTCATCAAGTGTCAGAGCATTCCTACAGCTAAATTAGCAGCACTGCCCCAAAGGACACCAACAGCACAGCCAAGCCTCATCAGCACGCTGGGCTGACAAAATAAGATTATTCTGCTCAAGACAAACTCAAATCCACAGCTTTCTTCCAGCTTTTGGATGATCTTGATTTTGGGAAGAAAGGGACCGGCCACCCTGAGCATTTCCCCTTAGACAGTGCCTCATGATCCAATTTTCCACGCTCTGCCAACCAAGAGGGATTTGGTCTGGAAGCCTGGGGTGGGCACACCCAGCACCCAAGACGGGTCCACATGGCTCTGGCGTGCTGCAGGATGTGTCAGGACAATTTGTCACTCCCGTGCTGATGAAGGCAGGCTTTCAGGAGCTTCAGCACCGACACCAGCTCCAAAACATTCCCAGCGTGGCTGTTCCAACGGCGATGCTGCAGAGCCCAAATTCCACGTGGGGACACAAAGGTAAGCAGGGAACAATTTGCTCCATCCCTGCCTCTGCACCCTCAGGACTGCTCAGCAAAGTGGAAGACAAACACTTCCAAATCCCACGCCTGGAAAACTCTGGAAAAAAGCCTGTGGTGCTACACAGACCAAGGAGCACTCCAGGAGGAACACGGCTCTCCGAAATGCAGCAGAGGAACACAAAAGGCAGGAGATGAAACACCCACCTCACCAGCCTGCTACAGCATCCCTGACTGGCTACACCCAGCTCTTCCTCAGGAGAAAGGGCAGCTACAGTGTCACATTTTTCCTCCTTTTTATCCTATGAGGTCTGGCCAGGGGAGCAGAATTTCCCATGGTTTTTTGGGAAGGAAATGACAAAGCTATAGCGCTCCCTTTTCATATATAAAATACGTGAAATAAATACATTTGCTTGGTCCTCCTGAAGCTGCAGCTCTTTAAGCACAGAGGGGATGGGACAGTTTGAATGGAACACCTTGGGAAGGCAGAGGCTGGAAGCAGAGGGCAGCAAGGGGATGCAGAGGAGTGGGAAGGGTGAGCAAGACCAAAGTGGAAGCCAGAGCTGTAAATACTTAACACAGTGCCTGACAGAGACACACACAAAACCTGCACTTGCCACCTGCAGGGGCTGGGCCCATCCCCTCCTCAGGGAGCTTCCCACAGGGCACACAGAGCTCCCAGCACTGCTATCCCCAGTTAATCCCTGCGGGATAAACATCCCTCTCTGATCTGTGACACCATCTGTGGGATGGGCATCGCATTCCCCAGGTCTCAAAACACGAACCCCACCTGCATCTTACTCAAAGAATGAGAAAATGCAATACTTTAATCGGGTGTGAACCATCTGCCAGTGGATCCCCATCCCTGGAAGAGCTGGAGGCCAGGCTGGAGGAATCTGGTCTAAGGGAAGATGTCCCTGCCCATGCCAGGGGGGTGGAATGAGATGGTCCCTAAGGCTCCTTTCAACCCAAACCATTCAATGATTCTATGTTCAAATCCTCTACAAACTACAGGTAATCAGCCAACACTTTGCTTTTCTCCTTAAGTTGCCCATCTTGGGGTGAAAACCAAGCATTTTGTGTTTCAAGAGTGAACAAAGCATAACTGGGTTAGGCAATTTCTCACTCCTGGAGAGAATGAGGTTTTAATTTTTCTCCCCTCAAGAGCAGCCTGCAAACACCCAACTGAGACCTGCTTGGATTGACCACCCTGAGAAAAATAATGCCCAGAAAACAGAACCCCACAAGGAAAGCCATGAAACAGCCCCAAATGTGAGGTACTGGCAGCAGAGCCAAAACCCCTTCAAGGGATGGAAGCGGGCAGCCATCGCTCGACGAGGCAAATTAAAGATTCTCAGCAGCAAATTTTGTTCCACTGATTCAGACACGCACCCAACATCTGCCCACATCCACGCCGGGGAAGCTCGGGAATTCTCTGCATACAAATGGTGACAGCTTAGCTCATCTCAGCTGCTCCTTCCAGCACGCTTCCAGGCACGAGCAGCCTCCCTCTCGCTGCAAATGGAGCTGCACCTCGCGGGGTGGTACCACAGCAAATGGAAGCAGAAACTCCCTCTAAAGTGATGGCAGCTGCCCTCTGCGAGCAGCAGCAGGATTGCGCTTCTAGGTGCTCAAAAACACCAGGAAAAATCACCTTGCCTAAGCCAACCCTCCCTTGTGCTCATGTGGCAGTCAGGGATGCAGGCAGAAATCTCCATCCCTCACCTGGAATGAGCTGTTTCTGCTCCTTGCAGGTTGCATTGCTCCAAGGCAGGAGGGCAGGTGTGTGCTCCTGGAAACACCTGGCCAGGAAACTTCCCTTTTCCCAGCTAAGTTAGACTTAAAATAAAGAAATGCCCAACAAGCACGGGTAAAAAAGGCAAAAGCCAGAAAGGGGGGCAGCTCCACGCCCCACCTGGTGGGATTTTGGGATGAGAAAGAAGAGACAGCATGGGAAGAGGCAGATGGAAGGGACAAGGGGGCAATTCCAGCATGACAAGGGCAATCCCAGCATGGCACTGGGATGCTTGGGATGTGCACGGCACATCCAGGGACCGCCAGTGACACCAAGGAGCCCCATCCCAGCCCCAAACCCACGAGGATGGGCATCTCCATCCCCATCCCCATCCCGGGGCCTCCAAACAGCCGGGATTCAACAGGATGGGACCCACCTCGTTCACGCCGAACACCAAACCCCTCGACATGGGCACCGGGGAGGGGGGCGCAACAAAGCCGGGCAGCGCCGGGGTGCCGTGACCTCAATAACGCTTCCCCCCACGCAAAATTTAGGGCTGGGCGTGTGCAGCTCCTTTTTTCCCCTTTTTTTTTGAAATTCGAAACGCTTTTTCGCTACGGTTTCCCATTATCGATTAATTTCCCGTTTTCAATCAGCGCTGCCTCCCGCCTCGAGGCGGCTGCAGAACATGGCCCCGCGCTGCCGCCCCTCCTGCCGCAGCCCCGGCCCCACCTGCCGGGAGGAACGGGGCCGGAACGGGCGCACAGCGGGGAGAAAGCCCCGAACCCGCCCTTCTCCATCCCTCCATCCATCCTCCATCCCTCCATCCCTCCATCCATCCCTCCCCGCACCTGCCCCGGGCGCCCGCGCTGCCGCAGGGGCCGCGCCTGGCGCTGCCGCAGCCCCGGGGCGCCGGCACCGGGACACGCCCCTCCCCTGGCTTTTGGGATGAAATCGCCGGATTTTGCTTCTCTGGGGGTTGATTGATTTTTTTTTTTATTTTTTTAAATTTTTTTTTTCCTCCCCCCCTCCCCTTCTCCGCGCGGGACGCGGCGAAGGGAGAGCGCGCCCGGGGGTTCAGCGCGCCCCCCCCCGCCCCCCCAAAGCCCATCGCAGCTACCCCTCTCCCCGTACCTGCCGCTGCGGGGGTGTCCGCACCGGAGCCGGCTGGTGACAGCGGTGGCGGTGACGGTGACAGCGGCGGCGGCGCGGGCGGGGCGGGGGCGCGCGCGGGGCTCCGGAACCTTCGCCGCGCCGGCGGGGCGGGAGC